TGAAGGTCTGAGCCTTGGAATTGTTGAGTGGGCTGGGGTTTGTAGGAGTGGTTGTGCCTTGAGATTTTGTGTGTGCTTCAATGTCTTTGGCTTTCCTTAGATGAATGAGCTTCTTGCAAGAGAAGATAGACTTGATGGAGATGTGCTGTCAGTGTTATGGACCTTACTCAGGGGTTGTGGATCAGGTTATTTCAGCTGTGCTAGAAAAGGAACACAAATATGCCAGTGCACTGAATCCCTTTTGGTTTATGCCTGAATGTTTTGTTTTCACAGTAATTACTAAACTACGACTCGTTCTCCTCTGCACAAAGCCATTTGTCTCCTGTTGAACAGTAACCTTTTATTTGCTCGTGCTGTGTAGCAGAGCTCAAGGACATGTTTACTAGTGATAGCCAAAATTTCACCAGAACAACCTTCTCCCTTGTCTAGGTTTTTCCACTTTGATTTAAGTGGTTAAACCTCAGGGAAGGGATGGGAAATAGCCTTATGTGCAAGGATACAAGTGGGGGGTTCTGCTGTTCTTAGTCATGGAGTGAAAGCTCCCAAACCCTTGGGTTTGGAGTACTGCATGCCCTGGATGTAAAACCACTGCTGTGACGGTCTCACTTCTGCCCAAGTAATTGCATTGTCAGCAATCTGTTAGACCATGCTGTGTTGCTCGCTCACACTTCTCATGCTTAGTTATAGATTTTAAAATTAAAACACAACAGAATCCGTTCTTTTTCCCCTTTACTCAGTGGTATGTTGGGCTATTCCTGCCTCCCTTTGATGTTGGGGAGAGGAGATAATAGGAGTGGGGTTTGGCTGGACGCTGAGACGTGCGACCGGGGAAGGGCTGTTGGCTGGTTTAATGTGGATTTTCAGAAGCCTGCCTTGGATCTGAACTCAGGCTGGCAGGGGCTTTGCTCCCATGGAGGGCAGAGGACAGCTTTGTGCCTTGAAGATTTGACGACCTTTGTTCGTTTGAAACGCCCTGTTTTTTTATGCCACTCAACAGGAGACTTTTTAATTTACTTCACTGGGCTTGGATGCTGGAGGTGGATGGATGGCTGATGGAAGTTAGGAAATAGATGGGAGAAAAAGAACATTTTCTCCTGGGCTGTTTTTATGCACAATATAGCCTAGGGGTTAGCAACACGAGGGAGAGTGAAAAAAACCCTGCAGAGCCTGGGTCAGAAAATGTAATTTTCATGGGAACAAAATGCTTTTAACTTGCTACATCAAAGACCCTCCATTCCAGAGCATTCTCTGTGTTTGAATACATCTGCATTCCCCCAGAACTCTGTATGTGAATGCACATGTCATGTTTATCTACATGTGAGTGTCTACTTGCATATACATTATGATCTGAAAGCTGTTACTAGCCACCTTGGAATAGATCAGGAGCTGAAACTACTTCCAGCAGGAGTCAAAAGCAAAAATCTGTTTGGCTCCAAAGCACAGGTCTGTAGCTGGAACACCTGCCTAGGACTGATGTGTAAAAAGCCCTTCTGGCTCCTGTCTTGGAAGCCCACCTTGACTACATTCATTACAGCATCACCTCTGGCAGGTAAGAGGGTGGAGGTGAGCAGGAGGCTGCACAAACACATGGCTCTGTGCTTAACCACGGTCCTATCCATTTCTGTCACTACAGGATGAAGAATGGAGGTTGGAAATAGTCAGCAGCTTCTGTAAGCACTTAACATTCCTGATTTCATTTGTCTTTGATCTCACTTGGACTAATTTTACTCTCTTCTGATCCCTTCCCTTGAAGGGGCTTTTATCTCATTGTCAGGCTTGCTAATTTAGTGTGGTGTTTTGAACCAGACCTCCTCCTAATGTTTCCAGAGCTTGGAAGGTATTTTTTCCTTAATCAGGGAGTATTTATGCAGTTCTTTGAACGTCTTGGGACAAAAGTCATACTGGGGCTTTTTGCAGTGCCAAGTCTGCACTCTGGACCCTGCTGCTCAACCTCTGTATGTGCAAATGGCTTGTCACTAATAAACTTGCAGTATTTTGGGGCCAAAAGGGCAGGAAGGAGGGCTGAATGATTTGGGACAGGTCAGAGCCGACTGGTGTTGGGTGGGAACTTCATTTGCTCAGCTGGAGGCCTTCCCAGCAGGCTATGTAAATAATAAACAAGGAGGGGTGGTCACACATGTTTGACCAACCAAGCAGAAGCTTGGATCCCTGTATATTTGACTTTGGGGAAAAGAACTGGGTGATTTTGGGATATAGAAACATTACCACATGTTTTTGAAAAGCAAATACTTTTTTTTTTATGTGATGGAAAGTATGTTCTATTCTTACTCTGCTACAAGCAGGTTGAGTTGACTTTTTAAGGAGTTGAAGTTTGAGAGGCTGATAATTGCTTCTTACTGTGGGAAGCTGCACTGCAGATCCCTTCTCTATTCCTCGCTGTCCCCTCGCACTTCACCTTTGGAAGAGGAGGAGTATTTTCAGCAAAATGCCATTCTAATTACTGTCTGAAAAAACTAGAAAATAGGACACATATACAGGCTGTTTTCCCAAGTGATGAACAGGAGCTTCTAAAGATGGCAAATGTAAGGAAAGGCAAAGAATGAAGACTTTACTCAACAAAGTTTCAAATCTTTTGGAATAAGCTCTGCATCACACAGCTCAGCCTTTGCCATAGCAGTCCTGCCTCCACAGAGGTGATGTGTACACCCAGGCTGCCTGAGCCCTGGTGACATGCTGCCAGCAGCAGCTGCTGCAGGGACATCCCTTCAGAAAAGTGTCTGTGTCACTGCTCCTCCATGGATGAGGATTCTCAGGGACGGGGGTTCTCATGACAGCATCTGGGCATGCCTCCTGTCCTGAGCTCAGCTGAGTTTTCTCCAGCTGCTAACCCTCTCCTGTGCTTGCCCATGTCACCTGCACAGCTATTTGGTGTGCTAAATTTCTCACTACTCATACAGTTTTTTGATACCAGCTGTCTTGCATGAAAGGCTTCCAGAGGCAGTGTCTTTCCAGTACATCCAGGGCAGCCTTTCAGCTTCATGTTCCCCTGGGAACCATCTATCCTCCTGGGGAGCCACTGAGTTCTGTAGCTTGATGTGATCCTCAAAGGACCAATCTGCCCTAGGGGACATGAATGGGCAGAATTGCCCTACAGGAGGGTACCTGGTGACATTTGCCTGACCTGGACCTGCCAGGGCTGTGCTGACTGAAAAATCCAGGAATTCCATTGTGGTGTGTACACGCTGGGAGCTCAGGGATGTCTGTTGCTTCTGCCTGTGTTTTCTCCCTGCAGAGTATGAGATAGCAGCATGGTGGAAGCATCCATGTGGGAAAACCCTAAATCCAGGGAGTTGCAGGTAGCTCTGTGTTGGCAATGGCTGTCCCTTTGCCACAGAGTACAGTGTCTGGCTGTTGTGCTGACTCTGATGTGGGCATCTCTGTATCCTGCTGGATTTGTCTTTGGGAGATTGCCCCCTGGATGTCCTGGTGAAGGTGACAGAAGAGGGTCTGTTCTGTCCCATAACAATGACAATCAACAGGCAGGGCTCTTTTGTGGCCTTCTTGTCACTGAAGGAGCAGAGCTGGCCAACACTGAGTTCTCAGTGGCCGTTGTACAAGCCAGCAGCAATGACAAACCTGACAAGTTCCCAGCCCCATGGGCACTGACTTGGCCACGCATGGGGACAGGGTTAGGCCCTTCCTTCCAGGGGCACCTGCAGTTTCTAGCACACGCTTTGAAACAATTCCATCTCCTTGCATATGTAATTTTGCGTGTCATTGCCCCTAATTGCATGCTTAACACACACTCTTTTTAAAGTGCAGCCCCTTTATCAGCAGTAGGTAGTAGCAGGTTTAATAGGGTGTTTGAATTCCTATAAAATTAATCTGTAGCCTTCTGCGATAGGAGATGGGCAGGGAGCCATGTGGTTCATATCCAGTGTTGATAAACTTGTTATAGAGGCAGGAAACATTTCTGATTGGAGCAGTGACAAAATAATTTGGAGCAGAGCCATAAAAAGAGTGGATGGTGATGGTTTGAGCACAGCAGAGATTGAAATTGCTGGTGTGTGGAAGCAGCGCTGCCAGCTAACATTGACTTAGTGTCTCTGGAGAACTCTAACGGCAAATGCATTTTATTAATGGCAATATTCTTTTAGGAAATGCTGAGCATTGTTTCAGAGGTGGAGCCCCCTCGAGTACGTGGGTTTGGAAGTCAGCCAGACCAAGATCTGTTCAGCTGAGCTTGTTGCTGGTCACTGCTCTGGCCTCTGGCTGCAGCAGGAAGGTTGCCTAAGGGCACGCGCTGGGTACTGTCTGCTAATAATCGGAATATCCTTTTCTAGTGCAGAAAATGCATCCATCCATTCTCACTCTGTGTTCACTTATATGGGATAAAATGGTCAGAGACAGCAGGTCATATTTTTAATTGTTCTTTTATTGTCTTTCCTTTGAAATGTGTTTCCCAGAACATGAACATCAGTAGGAGTTGCTGCTTTCCCAACTGGACTTGAGCTCTTACTGCCAGTAAGAGGATGGGGAGCAGCTCTAACTAGGTTGTGGTCATTGACACTGGAGTGCCACATGGGGCTTGGATACTTTTCCTTGCATTTAATTGTCACGTGGGGGCTGATCAGCCTTGGAGGAGGCTCTGACATGCAGGTTGAGAGGGAAGCCTGCCATGGCCAGCCATGGGAGGCTGGGGCCCTTCCACATCTTCTGTGCTTGCTCTTACTGTTACCACCTCTTCACTTCTTCCAGCTGCTTTCTGCTTGAATCCAGCATGGAAACAAATGTGGACAACAGGGCACAACAGGGGTGGCTGCTGGGCCCATTGAGAATGGCAGAAATGGTGCAGGTTGTACAGGCATAGGGATGAGGGATGGAGAGCACAGTGCACAAGAGTCATGGACTGTGCTGGTCACCCAAAAGGGCTGAATTTCACCTGGTACCTCCAGCCATGGTTCCTTGGCTGTGTAAAACTGGGATGTGACTAAATCAAGGAAAGTAACTCCCACTGCAACACTGTCTTTTCTTTGCAGGGAGGCTGTCCGAAGGGGATTCTCTGGAGCTGAGCTGTAGTGCTGGTCCTGCAAAGGTGATACTGGAGCCAAACCAAGTGGTGATTTTGGACTGTAACCTGACTCCTGTTGAGCAAGTGATCAATATCACTTGGAAGAAGAATGGGTTTCCATTAGTGGAGCAAGAACATCTCCATGTGCTTCCAAATGGATCACTCTTCATTTCATCCCAGGCTGTGGCAAAGGACAGTAAATATCCAGAGAGGGATGGTGCTGGGGGTAATTACTCCTGTGTGTCTCACACCTCCCTAGGGACTGTCACCAGTCAAATAGCTGCAGTCAGATTTTCAAGTAAGTGTTCTGTGGGTTTTGTTCATTCTTTTTCCTTTTCCTCCTGGTACTTATTCAGAAATCTGCTTCCCCAGGAGCTTGAGATAAAATGTCTGTGAAATAAAATTGTCATAATGATGTATAGATGGGATTGGAGATAGTCCACAAATTAGCAGTGGTGTGGTGTCTTCCTGTTACCCCACTGTTAACACCCTGTGTAACTCTTCCAGGTAAGTGCCATCAGCTATGAATTAAAACCAGGACCCTCCTCTCCCCAAAAGACAGTACTTGTTTTTGCAGAAAACTTCAGAGCCCTGAGTGCAGCACCCTGTGCTTGGAGAGGTGGCTGTGGGGGGGGGGGGGAATCTTGCTGTGGCAGCCTTGTGAGGTGAATATCTCTTTGTATGGAAGAGATGAAAGAAAGGGTTCTTCAGGACAGTTTTTGTTTGGATCAAGAAGGACACTCTGAGATCTGAACTGCTGAATCTCTGCACAGAGTTCAAGAATAAAATTCCTTTCTATTCAGGCTTGGCTCCTGGGGTTTGTTTTGAGTGCAAATAAACGATTCTTTGACCTGCCAAATAGGTGAGGCTAGAAAATAATGCAAATACAGTAACACTTCTGTCTAGTACAGTTAGTTGTGTATGTTACATGTTGTTAAAAACAGCTGCACAGGCACACCATGGGACCTGTGGGAGGTAAAGGTGCAGAGATAATGTCTTGATATTCCCTTTACACTGGGATGTTTTTAGGCTCTGGTACCCTAGACAGGGCCATCCAGGTTTGGCCAAGTGAGTGTTTCAGTCTATGAGCACTGTGCTGTAGAAACCAGAACTGCTGGTGAAGCTTTGCCAGATGAGGGAAAAATCTTTGACCTTTGCAACACATCCTCCTTTTCTGCTCAGAAAATGTTTAGCATGCAGTCAGGGGTCCTGCACACAGGTATTGTTTGGGAGGAGCTGTCATTAGTCCAGATGGATTTATTTAGCTGCTCCTGCCTCAGTTCCAGACAGTCTGAGTTAGGATATATGTTTTTAGGGGTGACTTATGTTGAAGTGTGTGCTGTGTCTTGCCCAGTGGCAATGAGCTGTGTCTCTTTTATGGTCCTGGATTTATTGTTTGGTGTCTTACGAGTTAGAACAGTGGAGACATCTCAAAATGGAGAGGCTGACTTAAATTGCCTTCTCTCCTCCTGAATTTTCCAGAGGAGCATACATAGGTGATGCCTCTCTCCATCCCCTTCTGTGTTTCTCCCAGAAATGGGAAATTGGAGGTGAACTCTTTCCTTATGTGTACTCATATGTCTCCTTTTATTACCATCTGCACAGGGAAAATGCTGCTTCCATGGCACACACATGCACCTGATGTAACACATCCATTTCTGAGCAGGGAGCAGCGAGGGAATTGATTAATGAAATGCTTTGATTTGTTCCAAGGGTTGGGCAAAAGCACTTGCTCTGTTAGCATTCAGCTGGAGCAAGTGAGGATTGTAAAGGCTTGGGTTTTTTCATTTTTTCCCCTGCCACTGAACACAGTCTATCCAAAGCTGGATGGAGTGGATGGACTTACTTTTTGTGCTGATTGCCTTGGGGACTGCTAATCAGGACAGGGCAGTAGTAGAAAACCTGTTCAGCAGGTGGGATGTGTTATTTTCTGTCCTGCAGGTCCTTTCTTTCCCTGGAATGGGGTTTCCATGCAGGGCTGTAGGGCTCTCTGTGCCACTGAGTCTTGCAGTAACAAGTCAGAGCATTGGGTACTTGTAGCACCTCCCTTGCTCAGCACTGGTTTGGTGCTGTGTGGTGTCATTTGCCATGTTTCAGTCTTGTGGGAGTCCACTTCTCCCCCTGATAGCCCCAACAGCAGCTTTGGCACCTCTAAGGGCTGCCAGCTTCCCAGTGGAGGGAGGGGATGCTTCTGGCAGCAGTGAGCCCAGAGGCTGGAGGAGGCCTTTTGGAGCAGTCAGGCTAGAGTGTTGGAGGTTGAATGGCATGTGAAGGCTGTGACAGTGTGAGGGCTTCCATCCTTCCACCATGGTCCAGGAATTCAGTTTGTTGGCATTTTACTGGATAAACATATGGCTCACTGCCCAGTGTTCCCTGGCACCCTGTGTGCCACCAAGGGATCCATGGCATGGTCCCTGTCCACACCTCATGGCAGTAGCGGCCATGGCAAATGGGGGAGGAGCAAGGCTGTGAGGGCTCATGTGTGCATGTTAAACAAGCAGCTGCTCAGGCTGATAAATTTGGTTTGCAGGTTTTCCTGAGCCCCATGTGCTCCCATGTGGAAATTGTAGTTGTGGGAAGGTGTAGCTTTCTACCTATTAATAACTACATTGATGAAGATTTGTTAAAGCTTTTAATTTAGCTTAAACATTTTGTGCAAGGGAGGTTGTAGAAAATTACAGTAATTGTAACTGTCAGATGAAGACGTTTGCTTTGCCTGGAGGGAATGGGCCAGCATTGTGTGGCTGCTGGCAGGGAGCACGGGAGAGGTTTGGAGTGTTCCTGCACCTGGAGGGACAGGCCACAGCAGGAATTAACACACAGGATCTCTCATCGTCCTCTCTCCACACGGACAGTGTGTCTTCTCTGTGGCACCCTGTGTATCTGGGATTTGAAGAATGTCAGAGTAGGATTCGTTCTTACTTTAAGGATTTATTTTATAGATTTTATCCTATTTATTTTGTGAATTAGGGGCATAGGTGAGTGAGGGCCAGGGGCTGTAGGCAGAACCATGCTGGGCAGAAAAATTTCCTGAAGATGAATGCACAGGCTCTGGACCATGACTTTAAATGTGGCTTTAGATGCTGTTCTGGGTGGGTGGGGAGCTGGCTCCTGTGGAGAGCAGGAGCAATCCTGTGCTGCCATATGGCCCTGCAGACGAGCGCTGTGCTGGCTGTGCCTGCGCCGTGCCGGGGGCCGTGGCAAATCGCTCCCACGACTTTCTTTGAGCGTTCCCCTTCCACCCCCGGCCTGCTCAGAGGTGAGTGACTCAGAGGGGGATAGCCTGGGTGGTGTATGAGATCTGAGTGGGGGCTGATGTTGCCCCCACCTTGGAAATACCTCCTAGTAATTGTAGAAGGTACAAAGAGAATGAGCACACGGAGAGTCTGGGGGCAAAGCGCTGTGGGAGAGAGCAGCGAGCCCCTTTCAGAAGGCTGAATTCCTTGCATAGACTGCATTTTCTGCCTGGGGTGTAGTGTTGCTGGCTGGCAGCCTTTCCAAGCCCACAGCCTCCTGCACGGATCACGCTGCTGGGAGAGGGGGAGGGTGCTGTGTTTCACCATCCTGCAGTCACCCCTGGGCTCAGGGCTAAAAGCCTTGGCACACACGGCTTGGCTCCAGCTGGGTTTAACATGTCAGCAGGGAGGGAGCTGCCTGCCCCACTCCTTAAGGTGCAGAGCCCGGTGGGTCGGCTGTTGCTGAGGGCAATTTGCTGTAATGCTCTTCACCTTCTCACCTGCAGTGGGTAATTTTTACTGAGTGGCCTATTAAGGTGTTCAGGATAATCAGTGCAAGGGGGCTGGGAGATTCTGTGGCTCAGGATGGCTTTGCAAGCTAAACCTTAGCTGAGAAGTTGAAAATAATGTTGAGTATGTGTCATCTTTGCTTGCCTTTTCCCCTCAAGCATCTCCTTTCTCTGCCTCCCTATGGGAAAACCTCTCACTGTGCAGCACTTCTGTAGCAGCCCAGACTGTGTTTGTGGGAGGATAACAGCCAAAGATCCTGTGGCCCCAGGGTGAGCAGTGTGCTGGAGCCTGTCTTGCACTTGCTGTGACCTGCACTCATGTCCGTGTAGCATGTCCAAGTGGGAGGACCTGCTCTCCAGTCCTCTCTTCCTTGCCTGATTCTTTTCCCTCCCAGCACCAGCTGTTTGCAACATAGCTCTGAATCTCACTAGAGGTGCTGTATGTGTCCTGCCTCATCCATTCCACCCTGGTACTCCTGAGGATGAGAGAGGAGGAACACAAGGGATCACAGCATGCTGTGATGTTGGCCCTAAGCTGGTGCAGATGCTTATGGAGCAGTGATGAGCCCAGCCAGCAAGTCTGTCTCTGCCTGACCCATTCAGGGCTGACATCCAGGGATCTTGCTCAGTTCTGCATCAAAGGAACTTCTTCACTTCTCTTGCTTTGATTTGGTGTTACTTTCTGTGCTCAAAAGATCCCAGTTGAAGTTCCCTGTCCTCTCCTTCATGGAGGAGTCTGCAGGTTGCTTCTTTCAGAGCTTGCAGGTGTGATTTTTTCCAGCCCATCCCTTTCCCCACTGTCCCTAACCTCGTGCTGTGAAAGGAATATGATGGAGCTGCTCAGCCTCTGAAGCCCACCCCAAGAGTTTTGAGATGGTTTGCTGGGCATTGTCATGGTTGAACCGCCAGCCCCCATGGAGCTGTCAGCCTGTCATGGCTTTGCCATGAGCAGTGACTTCCCTTGGGAAGTGTGGCTGTTTCTGTGTGCTCTGAGCAACAGGGACACCGTGCTCCCTAATCAGGGTCGCTGTTTGGTCACACTCCTCCACATCCTAGTGAGGTTTTGTCAGGGGTGCTTTTCTTGGCTTTGGAAGAGCCATTCCAGCACAGTGGGCAGATAGGGCTGGGTGGAGATGAATGGCCAAATTTGGTTCTCAGCTGGGAATTTAAAGCTTGCAGGAGCAGGCCTGGCAGATGATAGCCATGAATAATTAGGACAGGTTATTGCCTGGTAATCCAGGGAGCCCAGGAGGCTCTGTCTTTTTGTACACCAAGATGATGTCTCATAATAATGAACAGCAGAGAGACAGGTGATGCTGTGTGAAGTGGAGGAAACAGAAATGCCACAAATACCATTTTTTAGGATTCCTGCTTCCCATCGTGATCTTCCTGAGTACATGACCCTCCTGAGCCTGCCAAAATATTCTCATTGATACCTGTAGGATGAGTGGAGAATAATGGGAAAGAGGATTAAGGGTATCTCTGTCAGGAGAAGGTTGTTTTGATGGTGCCATCCTGAATATGCACTGGTATTTGATGGATTTTCTTTTAAACTCTTGGATTCAGCAAGTTTAATTAACATGAGCTTAAAAGGTTTTGTAATTTGTAGAAATTACTCTGTGGTGAAGTGGTCTGCAGTGTATATTTGAGAATATTAAACCAGTTGGCTGAATTAAGGCCTAACACATTAATGTATTTTTCAAAATTTTCCAGGAAAACATTTTTCATTCCATTTGCATTGAATTGAAAAACTAAATGTGGCAGACAGCTGGTGGGAGAATTTGGTCTGTAGCTGCTGCGGAGAGCAATGAGTTGCTTGAAACATGTGATAACTATTTAAATTAAAGAAAAACACTAATGACAGCTGAGAATATGCCGAGGTTAAAATGGGTCATGCAAAAGCATTTCATTTTCCCAACTGTACATACTTTCTCAAGCTCACACTGCAATAAGGCATGTATATGTGTGCATGAATGTTTGTGTGTGTGAGAGTTGCAAAGAAAAACTTCAAGTTTGGAGTCCTACAAAATCCAAAGCAGTGATGGATGTTCTTGGAAAGCAGTGGTGAGACAAGGACATAATTGTGTTGGAGGGCCAGGAGGTCACTTGGGTCCTTCTGAGCACAGTGCTGTGCTCAACCCAGCATTCAAGTGTGGTTTTTGGCTGAAATTCATGTTTCTTGTTCCATGTTTGGGGTTTCTGGCACTTGTGTTAGAGCATTGTTGAATGGATTGGTCCAGCAGGGTAGGTTTCACAGCAAAGGCAGTTTAACAGAAATGGATAAAGCAGAAGCCAGTTCTTCTGGGGACTTTCTGCCCCCATCCAGGAGCCTGCATGAATATTCAAAACTCCACCTGTGACTGAGATTGCCTTTGGGTTATGCTGTTGGTTGGACAGATGCTGACAGCCTTGGGGGAGGATTTCTGCTGCAGGGTTTTGCTGTGTGCATGGAAGGGTTGGAAGATGAGGCAGCTGTGGATTGTGGTCCAAGAGCAATTCCAAACCTTAGTGCTTTGTCTCCAAAGCAGTTCAGTGACTTTACTATGGAAAGATATATAGAGAGAGGTGAGCCTTGGAGAGCAAACAAGTGTCCTGGCATGTATGAAATCCATTCTCCTCTTACCAGGGTGTCTGGATCCCCTTGGCTGCCTCCCATCTGCTTGACGAGGTTGAAGTTGGTTTTTGCAGGTAGAAGGAGGGTCAAAACCTTTATGGGCTCTGCCTCTGGTCTCCAGCACTGCCAGTCTGTGAGCAGTTGATTTGTGTAATTTGACATCTGGCTTCTTCTTCCTCTTGCTTTGTTTTAATTTCCTGTGGCTGTAGGAATGCTACAAGGCAAGGGAGAAACTCTCATCTCTGGTGTTGTGGCATTTCCCCTCTGTTTCTCATTCTGTGTCCTTCCCAAATGGAGCAAGTGAACATATAAGGAAGCAATTTAGGAAGGTAACTGCTGAAGCTGCCGGATTGCCTGTCTTTCACTCACACTGTTGCTTTAAGGTAGAAAATGAGGAAAGCAGTAAATTTATACATTGAAACCTTTCAGTTACTGTTGCTGAGGGTCTGTAGGAGCGCAGGAAAGGGAGGAATTACATTTCAGGCTGTCTTCAGGAGAGAAAAGCCTTTCTGTTAGCTCATGCATCATAACAGGTTTGCATTTCTCAGCAGAAACACTGAGTTATTAACTTTCCTTCCCTTCTTCTTTCCCCAGCATTATCACGCTTTTTCCAGCAGCCGGAGTCGCAGACAGTGGAAGAGAATGGCATGGCCCGGTTTGAGTGCCGGATCGAGGGGCTGCCCTCCCCTGTCATCACCTGGGAGAAGGACCATGAAGCTGTTCCTGCAGAGCCCAGGTGATTCCCTGATTGCTTTCTCAGCTTGAAAAAGAGCAAAGCAAAACACGACCATTTAGGATGTGGAAATCATTGTATAAAATGATAGAATGACAAGACAGGTGATACGTGATATCAGATTTGGACCTGATAACTAAGTGATGTAAGAGGAGGTATTAAAGGGACTGAGGAAAAAAAGGTCCGTAAACACCTAAATAAAATTAACTTTCCCCCAAATAGTTAAACCACAAAGGAAAAACAACCCTTGATACTGTGCTAGTTATTACAGCACAGAGCCTGTACCCTGCAAAAGCCTGTGTGTACTCAGGATGGGGCATGGCAAGGCATGGACTGCTTTGGTTTGTCATCTTGTGTGAAATAACATGGAATTCTTTGGGGCACTGTGGCCTGGGGTGAGGATTTGTGACCTGGGTGTACCCAACTGAACTCCATTTTGTGGATGTTCTTTGATTTTGTTTGTGGTTTTGTTGGAAGGCTTTTCCCTTTGCCTTACTCCCATGTTTAGACACCATCAAGTAAAAGACACTGAATTTTCTTTTTCTGGATAAAAGAGGAGAGTCCTGCAGCATGATACTTTTTCCTTCATGAAAGTCCGTTACAGAGGAGGGGGATAAACTATTAGCTGGCTGTCTGTCTGTAGACATCACTTCTGCAGGGAATCAGTAACTGAATTGTCCTTTAGTTCTTAAAAACTCCTTTTCTGTTCTTCAGAAAGAGGTGTTTCCCTCCTGGGGAAGTTAATCCAAGTTGCAGAAGGGGAAAAAAGAGGGGGGTTTTGGGGGGGAAGTTTAGAAATACTTTTGAAGCAGTGACATTCTATAAGAATACCCACTTATAGCCTTGAGTCTGGAGTGTGGCATCTAAAAGTTCATAGGAGGCTGTTGCACAGGAGGCTGTTGAGAAGAAAATTAATAAAAAAAAAAAAAGAAAAAAAAAAGAAGAGATTGNAAAAAAAAAAAAAAGAAAAAAAAAAGAAGAGATTGTAGGGAGAAGTGTGTCATAGATACAATGGCTTTTTAATGAGACAGCTCGATGGATATTGTGAAATTACTTGCTCAGAGATTGCTTTCATCACGGGCAGCCTGAAAATTGTTTTCCTTGTAAAAGCGAGGCCATAATCTCTGTCTGCAGATCTTGCTTTTTAAATCATGTTCTAGCTAATATGCTTTTTCAGAAGGATTTGCTTTTTTTGTTGTTGTCTAGTTGTTGTTGGATTTAATATAACCGGCTTTCGAAGGAATTAAGTGAATTCCAGGAAATGTTGGCTGCCAACCAGAGCTCTCTGTTATCCTCCCTGCATTGTGCCTGAGGATGGGATCTCAGGCTGGTCTGATTACTGTGGGCTCCCTCCTGTGCACACTTGGGATGAGCCTGTGAAATTGTAGCCCTTTTGCTGGGCAGGTGTCAGGGGGATGATTTCATACTCCAGAATAGCAGGGCTGGGAGGGTGTGCAAAATCAGGCTTGGGGATTGAAGGTACAGCCCTGGAGTAGTGCTACTACATCAGTGTTTGTGATTTAAGAGGGATAGAATAATCATGTTAAACTCACTTTGCTTTTCCTTTCCCCCTCTCTTTTCTTCCTTTCCCCTGCTCTTTTCCCCTCTTTTTTTCCTCTTCCCCTTCCCCTTTTCTTTGTTGTTCTTATCTTTGGGGCACTCTTTTCTGCCTCTGCCCCTGGATGCAGGTTCTAGCATGGTGCCACCTCAAAGGTACTGAAAACTGATCTTAAAAAAATATTTAAACAACCTAAAGTGTACCAAAGTGCTGATTGGTGTTTTTGGAATACCTTTCCTGTCCCTCTTCAGGACAAAAATCTAAATTCCCTATGTGAGTAAGGCACAGATAATTTTGCAATTCTGGCTCTGAAGCACATTGAATAAACACAGTGTTAAATCTGCTGCAGCTGCTGAAAGGTGGCTCACAGGATTCCCTGAGATTGCGGTTGATTTGGGTGTGTGCAACATCTCTTGGCGTAATCTCTGGTTTAGGTGCTGGCTGGGTTTCACGTTCAGGCTCCAAAATTCTGTTTATTTTCTCCAGAGCCAAGATGAGCACTTACTGGGAACTGGAGGTCTTTGGAGGTCTGCACAGCAAATCCATAACCTACAGACCACATGCTCTGCAATCACAGTATATTTTTCCACATTTTGGCTAAGTGAGGGTTTTAGCTGTGTGTAGAGTTTATTTCTGTGCTGTGTCAGGAGTGCCTTGACGTGGCTCACGTTCATGTACAGGACTCTGGAACTGTGAGCAAAAGGGCTTCCAAACTGAGCCTGCAACAGAGCTGCAGGTTCCTCACTGTGCTCAGAACAGCTCTGGGCTGTCCTAGGCATCTTCAAAAGGCTGAAGATAGGGTGTGCTGGCAATTTACTAGGGAGAAGGTAAGAAAGGGAATAGGGCTGTTAATGCTAGGATATTCTCTGAGCTGTAGGGTTGCAGGGTTTAGACACGAGGCAGTGGCACATGATTTCAGTTCTTGGGCACTGCTCTGGTGAGCAGCCCTGAGCCCCTCAGTGCTGCCAGGGAGGGGAAGAGCTCCATGGGTGTGCCCTGTTCTTGCTGCCTTTGGAGCCCTGGCTGTTGGCCCTGCTCCGAGTGTGCTGTCCTTCAGTGTAATCCAGGTGGGGGCTTGCCTTTCACCCCCATTGAGGCAAGCTTCTCTGAGATCCTGACACTGCAGCTATCAACAGCAAAACTCCTGGGACTGCCAAGGTTCCAGCGTTTCTGTTGCTTCCAGGGCCTTTGTCTGTCTGTCCTTTAGGTTTTGTTTCCTACTTAATGCTTGGTGAAGGTGAGCAGACAAAAAGATTAGCACTTTGTGTGGAAGAAAAGCTCTGACAACTGTCTGCTCTGAGTCATCAGGCAAATTTCCTTGCAGGGAGCCTGGGGATAGAGCAAATGCCCTTGCAGGCTGCCTGAAGGCTTCTAGTTCAGGGCGTCTGGGACCCTGAAGAGCTGGAGGCTTTGTGAGCTGCTGGGAGAAATGGTGGGTAGAGAAATCCTGCTTTTCTTCCCTCCTTGCTTCCCCAGCAGAGCGATCCTCACCGCTGCCATGTTTTCCCAACAGGATGTACTGCATTGAGTAGATTTCTACCACTGGTGCTGAAGGGATTGTCTCAAGCTCTTTTGAGGAAGTCTCCCCATTCAACTCCCTTGTTTCTAGCTCCTACTCCCTTTAGAGACACAGTGGCTTGTTTTGTGCCCTCAAGAGAACCTGAGTCCTGAATGCCCTGGTATAGTGAACCTGCTCTGAGAGTCGAAAGGTCACAGACCAGAGGTCTGTCCTAGCCTCAGTGAATCTATGATTCATTACTGAAGTGTCTTTTTGTGGCTGGGAGATGCCTTGCCTGGTGTTTGAAATATGTTGATATTAATTACAGACTCAAATAGCAGATGCACGACAAAAATAAATATTATCGCAGTGGGAGGCTTTCCCTCCACAGAGCTGAGAGGATGCAAATATTTGTCATCTTTCTCCCAAGTCCTGATGAGGCATCCTGATGAGGGCTTTTGGGTATCACCTCCTCAGAGGTATTTTGGAGCTTGATCCTGAGCAAAATATCTTTGTAAGTAGCAGGAATGTGGCTTTAGGGATGTAAGGCATTGCATTTCTATACATGGGAAGCTTCAGCCTGTCTGTGTCCGTGAATCAGGCTGTAGGATTGTTTCAGTGGAGACATAATGGTCACTGGAGGAGCTCCTGTAGCTCTTCCTTCTTCATCAGCTGTGAAGGGGACAAGACATGATGAGCTCAACTGCAGTAGCTGAGGTCCAGGATCGATGCAAGACTCACAGCAGGGATATTTGTCTCTGGAACAGACTGCTAAGGGCAAGGGAGGTGTTTCCATGAGTGCAGATTTAGGATAAATCTCTGCAGAAGCAGGCATTCTGTTGGTGACCATGGCTTGAACATAGGATGAGTGACCTGTTCATGTCTTCCTGGCTGAAGTGATCCTCATTCGTGGCACTCCAGCTGTCTCAGCACCTGGAGAACCACAGTTTGACTTACTGTGATCTTTGTGGATGGCAGGACTGGCATTCATGGTTATAACTTGCCTTTGTGCTGTTCCTGTGGAATAGCTGCTATCCCTCCCCTTAGCAATTGCCTTTGAATGTGTCCTCTTCATAATGAAGACTGATAACCCAGAGCTGCCTGTCAAACCTCGGCAGCTCTGTTTATAGAGACTTGCAATTAAAAATGGATCTCATATATAATTAAAAAGGATCACGTAGGCTTTGCGCCTTGCATTGAAGAATAAAGAGGCTGCCATCTAGGAATCCAGGCAGAAAATGGAGATGCTGACAGCCTGCTCCTACTTTTATGCTAATTGCTAATCATCTGCTTTGTTCAGTGTAATGCAGCAAGGATTGTGCTCATGTCGTGAGCAATGTAGCCATTTCAGTCTGTGGAAGTGTTTCCAAGTCGCATCCCATGGGCAAATCAGAGGACACTGAATGCCCAGCTGTGCGTTTGTCACCTTGTGAAAGCCAGAAACTTATGGAAGAAGGAAAGGAATCACTACAACCCAGAAATGGGGCAGGTTCAAGTGGTTGTGCTGTAGCTGCTTTGGCTCATGGAGGTGCAGCTGTGTATCAACTGGTCCCTTTTCATGTACTTGAGGTGCAGTGAGAAAAAGATGATGTTCAGACTTCTTTGCAGTGTGTTTTTTGTCTGGCAACTAAACCTTTGTAAAAAAGCAAGAGCTGAAAATGGCTGTAGCATGTGCTCAAGCTTGGAAACAAATGTGTATGTAAAAGTGTGAGTGTATCAAGTTGGTTTGTACTGGCCAGTTGAGTTGGTTTGTGTCAGCAAAGTCCTGTTAGCCTGGTCTCCCAAAAGCAGCTTTTGCATTTGGAAGACTCTGAGGTGATGGATAGGTCTGTACCTGCTGCTTTTTGAAAACCATGGGTTGGATTGCTCCCCTGATCCAATTCTACTGTCATTACCAGGACCTGACGTGAGAGATTTTTCAGAAGAAAAGGAAGGGATAAAAGGGCTTTGGGGTGATGAATATCTGGGGTAAGTCTCACACTCTTCCTTTTGGTTACTCAGGTTTATAACTCTTCCCAATGGTGTCCTCCAAATCCTGGATGTGCAGGAGAGCGATGCTGGGATTTACCACTGCGTGGCAACCAACGCCGCCCGAAAGCGCTACAGCAACGATGCCACCCTCAGTGTGGTGAAAGGTGAGGTGCTGCCAGCAGCCTCTTGGCTAGGTGCAGGTCTGCCAGGTAATCATTGTGTGTGCTGGGGGGAGCTGGGCTCAAGTACCAATGACCATCTCCCCTCCTGGTGTGACTCTACACATGGCCAGCTTTGGTTAAAACTTGCAGAGAAGGCATTTCATGAAAGGTTTCTCTTTGCTGGTGATGGGAAAAGGAGACTGTGTTGGGAGGACTCCTTTGTGCTCTGGGGTGATCAGAAGGGATGAGGCAGCCCATTTGCTCCTTGGGGAGGGCAGCATTTTTGGTGGTGTTCTCTGCAGTGGCATTGGATAGCAAGAGAAGCAAGGGCTGGCATGGACAGATGGAGGTGCTTCCCATGCAAGCAAGAGAAGTAGCTGGAGGCTGGAGTAGCTGGCAGGACGGTTTATCCAGGGTGCCCAGCACAGTCCAGAGGAGGCTGAACACAGTGACATCCAACTTGTGTTCTGTGTCCATATTGCTGGAGCTCTGCTGAGCTCCAGAGATCTTTATGTGGTATTTGGGAATGGCCGCAGCTGGGATTTCTTCTGGTGATGCAGGTCTTTGGAGCAAGGCTTTGGGTGCAAGCTGTCCTTCATCTCCTGATCTGGGCCTCAGCCTCTGAGTGCATTTTCCTTTGTAAGCCAAGAGTGCAGCAGGCAAGTCTGGACATGAGGACATAGCTGAGAGCGTGAGTGCAGTGGGGGTCTCCAGGCTCCAGCATCCTCCCAGCTTGCCTGGCTGCCTCCCCAGCTTTGTTTCACCCTGTCCTGCAAATGGACAAACTCACCAGGGCTGGGAGTCTGGCTGAGCTGTCCCTTCTCTTGGGACAGTGCCCCGGGCCACCTCTGTCTCCTGTTCGTGCTGACCCTGGTGTATCTTGCAGGCAGCTTTAACCTTGAAAGCTCTGAAATCCTCCCCAGCCCCTTTCATCTTTGTTTAGGATTGCGTTGCTTGGCATTCTGCTCCCAATGTATTTTCCCAGCAATGGCTTTGCTGTTCATCCATCAGTAGGGAGTGTAATTAACTGTGGAGCCTGAGAACACACCTCTGATCAATGGATTGTGTCATGGAGGTAATCTGGGTGGAATCTGCAGAGAATTCGTGAGCGGTTGAATGCTCTGTGTCTAATTGCCAGTCCCTGCCAGATCCTCTGTGTGTTTAATGAAGCTCTGAGCCGAGGGGAGTGCTTCCTATGGGCAGTTCCATGCTCCAGAGACAGCTCCTGTGTTGGCTCTGCTGTGCTATTGATAACTAATATCGATCAAGCTGCAAAGGTGAATTTGATGTCCTTGGCATCATAACTCATTCTGCATAATTGCATCTTGTAGCTCTGCAATGTTTAATCTGCTTTGCAAATGGAGGCAATGGAAGAGGTTAAATGGGAACCGTTCCTTCTGGAGCACCAGCCGGCCTGAGCAGATTTCTGCCTGGAGTTCTCACCCAAATCTCTCTTCTGCAGCACCACACCACCCGCTGGCTGCTAAAACAAATATGTGAGGTTGAGTTTTTCACCAGATTGAGCTGATAGTGATGAAAAACATGCCTGTTAAATCTCTGGGTTTTTTTATAATTGGGGAGAAGTATCTTGGAGACAGATGGGAAACTGCAGTGACCTGTGTAGGCTGTAAACTCCTCCATGAGTGACTGGCATGGTATTGATCCTTTTTTGTTTCAGCACTTCACCATCAGAGCACATTTTTGGATGCCTGGACTGGATTGAGGAGTCTTTTCCTCCCTTTTCAGAAGCAGCTGATAATAGTTGGAGTGAACTGGTCAGGCAGAAATCCTTTCCTGATTGTGAAAAATAAAACCAAATTAAACCAAAACAAAGAATTCTAGGAAAAAAACCAAAAATAAACTGAAAGACAAAAAAAAAACAAAACAAAAAAACCAAAAAACCCACAACAGACTGAAGTACAGCTATTTGGTGTTGCTTATTTGGAAATTTCAGGGACCAAACTCTTGTGCAGACAGGAGAAACTAAACTGTTTCTTCCCTCCCTGCTCCTGGCAAGGGACTCCTTTGTGCCAAGGTAAGGTGACAGTCCAGCCTTTCAGTCGCACTGCACTGCCAGGGCCCCTGGAAAAGGTTTGTGCAGTATGACTTTGTGCCTCCTTACCTGCTGTCCCACTGGCAGCACTGGCAGTGCTGTGTTACGATCCTGGAGGCTGTGCTCCTGGGAGACTTTGGAGTCTTGCTGGTGATAATGCAAATGCTTCCAAGGATGAGGCCTGGGAACATTTTGTGTTCATGCCTCTGCCTTCCAGCCAGGGCTGGATCTGAATGAGCTGTGCATAGCAAAAGAATCCGTTTCCCTACAGCTCTTCTGCCCAGTTGTCCTGTTCCTCCCCTCTCCCTCTCTGTTCCTTGTACGATGGCTGGGAATTGTTCCCTCTCCCTTATTAAAGGCCTTTTCCCAGTTAAAAGCAGTAATTAACATGAGCCCTTTCTGTCCTATCTGCACTGTCTAAAAACCCCAAAAGTGTTATTTCCCTGGGCAGTGTGACTTCCCATCCTGTGGGGAATTTGGGTTGTGCTGTGTGTCCGTGGCTCAGCACATGTTGGCTGTGGCCAGGCAGGGCAGGCAGCGGCGGGCTGCAGATGTTTTGGCTGTGCAGACTTCATGGTGCAAATTTCCAGACCTTCCCTGGGGAAGCAGCATTTGGAGCTGGAAGGGAAGAGAGCAGACGGGACAGCGGGATACAGTCACACAGCCCTGAAACAGAGCCTGCTGCTGAAACAGGGATAGCTTGGGTTTTCCCCTTGGATCTCCACTGCTTCCCAGTGGATGGAGTTCCAAACACATCTGGCAGCTCTGTCCCTTCACCCCTCACCTGGACAGGTGATGAATGAACACTGTGTCTCTCTCTGCCAAAAAGGACATTAGGAGCTGGCTGTGGGATGCTTTCCCAGGCTCCAACTGTGCATGCTGCCTTTCCTTGGGGTCAGCTGTGTCTTTTTCTGGAAGTAGGTTCTGGAGCCCTACTCTGAACTTAGAAAGAACTAATTCCTTATGTGTCCAGGTCGTGTTCCCAGGTTCTTGACATGCACACAGAAGTGTTGCCATGCTTCATAAACCTTTCAAAGAAGAGTAGCAAAAGGGCTTGGGGAATGACGTGTGGTCTCAGCAGGTCACTTTGCCTGTCACTTTGCTTTCCCCCTCCATGTCATGCACACACGTGCTCTTTGTGTGTTTTCATGGGAACAGGGACTCTCTCTTGGCTGTGTGTTTGCCCTACAACTGGCACACAAAGTAGCACAAATAACAGTCAGAAGCTGTGCTGCTGCAAGAACAGTAAACTTTTACAAAGATTTGATCTATTTATTTTTAAATGTCACAAGGAGTGTGGCTCCCTGTAATTTTCATTCCATCTTCCTCATTGCATGAATGCTGGGATCTCTCTTCTCCACAGCTAACCCCCATTTCACTTCCCTGTGATTTATCCTATTAGTTTTAGTTGCAAAGGATTGGGAATCTTGAACACATTGTTATTCCTCCTTATTTTTTAATCCCTTTGAGTACGTCTAAGCAGGTGACCTAAAGAAAGTTTAAATCTTGGCAATTTTAGTATAGAATAGTTTTCTCCCACTGGAGTGAGAGAAACAAATTTGAGATCCTGACCCCAGAGCTCCTTTGTGCAGATCTCAGTGTTTGTGTCTTTTCATGTTTATTGGTTATTGCAGAAGGATTGTCAGAGCTCAGTTCTGAGAGCCAGGACTCCTGGCTTCTCTCTCCCTCTCTGTTGCTGGGCTGCAGAGGAGAATCAGTTCCTTAATGTTTAAATTTCTGTAAATAGCGATAATGTAATAAATAGTTGGAGTTGTCCTTTTGGAAGGGATTGGTCAGTCTGGAGGATGATTATGGGCATTTGGTGCAGGAGGCCATCTAGGGGTACATAAAGAGAGAGGTGTGGACATGTATCTCGGTGTGGGTGTGGGATTTCCCCTCCTTGTGTCCTCTGGACCCTGTTCCTGGTCTGTGCATGTGGGGTGGCCATGACTGCCGTGACATGTGTGGGAAAAACCCTTGCCTGAAATCAGATGGGCAAGAATCAGAATATCCCTGTGCTGCAATAATGCAGAAATTGGAGAACAGAGCAGGGTGATGGGTGGAGGTCTGGGCTGAGGAGTCACAAAGGAGTCTCCCAGCAGCTGAGCACATCCCCCGCGAGCTGGGATTTAGTGCCGTGTTATTAGAGATGACACTGCGAGATTGCCGCTGGCAGAACATCATTTACGCTGACAGTTGTAGCAGCTTGCTGCAGCAGTGTCCCAGGAAATGGATTTTTCAGCCAAATATTTGTATGAATGTGATAACAGGGATAGAGCTTGGGGGCAGCTGAAGCACCTTCATTTTTTTTGTTCTTTTGGTGTTTGTGCTGCAGTGGCTTGCAGGTACCCACACAGAGCCTGGGATGGAGGTGGTTCCTGCTCCAAAGGGCTGTAGGAAAATGCAGCTCTTGACTGGGATGAGCTTTAGGGATGGAGGGGAAGGTGGTGATGAAGTGAGCAGCACTCGCAGTTGGCCACCACCTCGCAGAAACAGACGTGCCGTTACCACAAGTGGATTTTCAGTCCCTGCATGTGCGAATGACGTGCTGGATGCTGGCTTGGCACTCAGCCTGAGCCCTGGCCACGTGCTCTGCTCCCCTCGCGGCTTCCAACACAGGTACCGGGCAGCCAGGGGACAGGGAACTTTGGATTTGGGTCAGTGGTGCTCTGGGCTGACCTCCCTGACTGCAGCTGGGCATTGACCCTGTGTGTGCTGCCAGAAACAGTGAAGGGCAGCGTTAACCAGAGTGGAGGGGTGGTCCCACCTGGATTAGGGTGGCCTTCCTCCAGCAGGAACCCATTGCAGGGACAGCAGGGCCCTGTGTGGTTGTGGGAGCAGAGCTATATACAAATGTGTGCGGGCATGGCACACTTCTTCTGGGACACATGAGTTGTGGGAATGTGTAGGGAGAGAAAGTGTGGGATGGGATAACAGAGTTGCATTTTTG